ATAATTAACTATGAATAATTAAGCAATTGTGAAAGAAAATATATACTATATGAATGGTCTATTTTTCTGATTTGAATAATTCAGAAATTAATAGGACCAAAGTATTTTCTAATTAATTCCATTCAAGAGTATACTGTAATATTTTTCTCTTCATCACGATGAGTGGTCTATTTTTCTCTATCTCCATATTTTCTTGATTTAAGAAAAAACCCAGAGATGAGCAAAAAAACGTATGGTTTCAACTTTCTAGTACATTGCGTATGGCCCATAGGCATCACTTTTGATCCTCAAAATCCAGTTCCATGTGAGAAACCATTAGAAATTGAAACTTTAAGGGGTCGTTTGGTTAAAAAATGAATAATGCAGGGATTAGTAATGCAAGGATTAATAATGCAGCGATTAGTAGTGTAGGAATTAGTAATGCAGGGTTTATTTTTATCAAGTGTTTGATTCATTATTTTCAACCCCAACTTGTGTTTGGATTAAAACTCTTTTAAGATCTTCTTTCCAACTATACCCTTGAATTGTTATGTAATTGGGTCAAGGTAGATAATTGCCGGAAAATATTTTTTTTATATGGCGTTCTAACTAGCTATGAGAAGAATAATTTTGTTGTCATGTTTCCAATTTTCTACTTGAATTATTTGAGGATAAATAATTTTCATCTTAATAAATTGATCACTCACAAAATGTCAATTTTCAATTTAAAAAAGATAAACCAACTGCTTTTAAAATTAAAAAGACGGTCAACAATGGTAAAATTGAATAAATCATCTGCATTTACACATAAAAATTGCAAGTTATAGTTTTAATAAGTATGTAATTTTTTAAATTGTTCAAAATACAAATAGTTAGTGATATATTTGCCTTTTAATTAGTAAATGTTAAATAACTCACATTTCAAATTTGTATCGATTTGTATTGGATATATTTAGTAACAAAGAACTCTCTCTAAATAATTTGTAAGCTAATTTATTTAAATAATTTTACTAGTAAAAATATAAAACATAAAATCAAGAAAATGAAAAAATAATTAAAATGATTTGAGGGATATTTTTGTCTTTATATAGACTTATCACATGGTATTATATCCTATGTATTTCTAATACCTCCAAATGGAAGGTATTAGTAATACATCATATAATACCATATAGGATGTATAGCTAATCCATGGATTAGTTATATATAGGCTCAAGTTCCTACCAAACATAGTACTAAATAATACCATACATAATACATGAATTATTTCTTTTAATGCGGCCTACCAAACGACCCTAAAAGCATTAAATTAATTCTTCAACATAATGTCATATCCACCATCATCTAATTTTTAAATATTTATATAGTACAATATTTTTATGATACTTTTGTTTCTTATCTTCTGAGTTCTCATCCAATCAATGAGTTTCAACAAGTTGCATATATACAATTTTTAAATATTTTAAATTTTCCTTCTAAGATGTTCTAAAAATCTCATCCATATCCCAATCCTGGAAAAGTGTAATTTGTCATTTAGTGCTTATTCTTCCCTACCAAGTACTCTTTTTCTATTTTTTTTAATAATAAAAACATAGTATCTTTTTCGAGAATAATAATATTGAATTATTCTTTCTCCAACCTTTCCACCAACTACATGATCAAGATTTAATAATCCAAAATTAACAGCTATAAGAAGGATTTAATAACCAATAATTATTAATGGGCACCAATTATAAGGTGGAAAAACTATTTTTTTTTAATTTGTTCTTAAATGTATATTGTGTTTGGATCGGACATAATTTGAAAGTTGATCTTATTTGATGGATGAATAAAATTTCACATTCATACTCTTTAAGTCTTATTAATACGGATTTTTGAGGAAAAACATTGTGAACTTGGCAAAAGATGCATAATATTATTTCAACTCCTTTATTTTATTAGTCATTTTAGCCCGTAACTAGTATTATTATTAGAGTTAATAATTTGGTAAGGCTAGTATAAATAACATGTGGAACTAGTTTTACTAGTCTTTATTTGTCTAAAAACACTATCTTTACCCCTAACTTTGACATACACATTAAAAAAAAAAACAGGCTATGGATTTTGTTTTTCATGAATAACGGATGATGTAAGTGACATAGAATAAATCTTCAAAATCACAATGCACTAAATCTCTAGATAAACCCAAATTCATAATAATGGATCATATAGAATTTTGTTCAAGATGAAGATATATATTTAAGTGAACGAATGTTCAAGTGCCATTTTAGAAAAGCTTCAAGTGTGAACTAATTAATAATGTAGGGCATTTTACTCTGTAACCATCGAATTTTCATTGGCCAAAGTCATTAAATTTGAAAAGCTTGATTTAGTCGTATTTGGCACAATTGTTCTTTTCTCTCTTTGATGTTTGAATCTTGATATTAGAAAAATGTGCCTCCAACCACAAGAAAGCTTTCAAAAAATGTCACCGGCCTTGTCTTTTACCTTTTCAAACTTCAACTTAAAATACTTATTTGTTTGAACTTTTACATACCTCCAAGTCTCCAACATTGTTCGTCAATGTAATCAATCAGTCAAAATTGGTCATTTATCAACCTTTTAATTTGTAAAATTATCACTGGGGATTAAAATGATCCCTTCGCCTTTTATTAAGGATTTCAGATTTGAACCTTGAATACTAACTGAACCGAAGAAAGTGTTTCTTGTACAATCTTTGACCCAAGAATTTCTTTTCTTGTACTCGATCGACTGATAACTTCTGTTATAACCTCCACAACATAATCTAAATGGATCGAGACCCCAAAATAGGCATCAGACATCGAGTGAAAAATCCAAAATAATAATTCGTTGACTTAAAAAAATAATATAAAAATAGAATATAATAAAAGATTTGAAAGAGAGGCTGGCTAGATAATCTATATAGGGGTAAATAGCACATATTAAGTGTAGCCATATGTTATACAATTATCAGTTCGACATTATTAGGTTTAACCCTAGTAAGATGTGAATTCAAATAGTAGCTGTCAAAGCCAACCAAACACCCACCCACCCCTTTTAATTTTTGCAAGAGAAACTAATTAAAGTGAAAGCAACTGGCTTTGCTTGCCCATAAACTGACATACTTTAGCATTTATACATATTCCATGTCCCCCTATCTATACCAATTATATTTGGAAATATTTATTATTTTGGTACTCTTCCTAAATAATTTGGAAATATCTACACTAATATAAATGGCTTGGTCTTATTACACAAATATTTAACTAGGTAGATCTATCTAACAAAGTAAAATAAATGGCTTAGCTTGTACCAAAATATTTATAAAGATCTACCTTTTACATGTTAATTTCCATTTTCCAATTTCAAAGCTTAAGAGGGTATCACCGTATCGATCAATCAATATCAATAAATGGGATAAAAACAACTTCATCCTATCCCATGCACCAATGCCCCATTTTCACGTCTATGTTCTTATTTTAGTCTTTGTGTTATCTAACTTAGCATTATTAACCTTCAATTATATCAATTGAGTGATTTTAATCCCTCAACTAACAGATCCAAAAAAATTAACAGAGAGTTCACTGCTAAAAGGGGAAATTTGAGTATTTAAAAGTTATTGCTTGAGAAATAGAAAACTTTTAAAAAAAAATTATTTGCTGCATAAACTAGTTCAACCCTAGTTTTGCACACCAAAAAAATCTCGATCTATTTGGTGTGGATGTGCAATGGAATTGCGTTCTAAAAGTGGGTTGAAATCCACTCCATCATGTGAGTACTCTTTTAAGTTGAATAATTCAAAATTTCATGTAATAGACAAAGAAAAATATCTCAACAAATATACCAGAATACTTTGAATTGTTTTTCCTTAATGTTATGCAAATTATTTGTATATGTGAAAATATGATTCCAAATATACTATTTGTAAACTTCAAGCTACCAGAAGAACTCAATTTCAAACACCCTAAGGATCTGTATGGTAACACACCATATTCAACTTTGATTAGAAATAAAAAAAATTGTTAGCATCATCAGAAGCACCACATAAATTCAATGCTCTCAATTATATCTTAGAATCTACACATCTTCAATTTATCTCGAAGAATTCCATTCAATTGTTGTCAGTTTCGACAGCAGTGATAATCTGAACTGAATGTATTATAAAACCAACTCTTCCAACTGATTACAAGTAAAATTGAAGCTTAAGGAAACTTATAAGTATGGTAACAAAAAAATAATTAAAATGAAATACTCGAATTACCTCTTTTAGCAGTGAACTTTCTGTTAAAATCACTCACTTGATATAATTGAAGGTTAATAGTGCTAAGTTAGATAACACAAGGACTAAAATAAGAATATAGCCTTAACACAAGGACTAAAAATGTTGTTTCCCTTGTTTTTTTTAAAAAATATAATAAATGTAATGGTAATGTTTGGATAAGTTTGTGTCCATATATACCGTTTGACCAATGTATCGGAATATTATTATTGAGAATACAATTAAATAATAGAATTATACTTTTTTTAATAACTTAATCTACACACACTTTAATATGATATTTAAGATCATGAGATAGAATCTCACCGCCATTCATTATCAGAAAAGAATTTTTCAAGGCAAATAATTTTGACCGAACGGTCAAATGTATAGGTAGCTCCATGAAAAGGAATAGCTTAAATTTTATTAACTTTGGCTGGAATATTATTGAACCATTGAGTGGTGAGAGTGCGAAAGCTTTTTATAAAGTGTTTTTAAAAAAAATAGGCAACTTGTTTGGTTATTTTGTCTTTACATTTATTTGGACATTATAGAAGCAGTTGTCTTTTATTTCCAGAGCTTTCTCTTTATTCAGTCAATGAAAGAGAAATTTAAATATATTTTCTGAAACTCTTCAGAGACTTTAGGTGTGAGCCCACAACGAATACAACTCCCTTTGTGCCCATAATATTTTGTCTCTTTCCCAAATTTACTCCCTTCTATTCTAAGTTTCTAACTATATATATACATCTCTTTAGGGAAACAGTACAATTATTAAAAAGAAAAAGAAAATGAAGATTCAATGTGATGTTTGTGATAAAGAAGAGGCATCAGTTTATTGTTCAGCAGATGAAGCCACACTTTGCCAAAGCTGTGATTATCAAGTGCATCATGCCAACAAGCTTGCAAGCAAACATCTTCGTTTTTCTCTAATTCATCCTTCTTTCAAAGATTCTCCTCTTTGTGACATTTGCCAGGTACTAATAATATTCCCCACTAGTACGAACTTCGAGTTGATTTTATGAATGATCACTAAATTTAAAATTATTACATCAATCAAAATATCACTTTCTTTGGGGAAGAAAATTGAAATAAGAAAGGTAACTTTTTGAGATAATAACTATTAGTGACTAGTGAGTAACTATCTGAGAAATATACTGTGGTGTAAAATTTTTGCACAACCGACAATTACTATTTTTCTATTGAAAAATATTTTGTGGCTATTCCATAGATATTTTGATTGAATCAGTGGGAAAAGAAAAAAATAGTAATATTATCATATGAAAAAAATTAGGAAGTTTCAGACTAATATAGCTAGTACAAATTTATTTCTCACCATGCATTTCCTCCGGTGAGCTAGTTTGATAGAAAATGAGAGGAAAAATCATGATCTATAACACATATTTCTCACTGAACCTTTGTTTTTAGTAGTGAGTATAAAATATGGGCGGATAGTAAAACTTCTTTAATTTTATGGTGTATAATGTAGAAATTAACATTTATTTCTTATTGTATTTTATTTTTAGGAAAGACGTGCACTGCTATTTTGTAAAGAAGATAGAGCAATTCTTTGCAAAGAATGTGACTTGCCTATACACAAAGCAAATGAACATACAAAGAAACACAACAGATTTCTTCTAAGTGGAGTTCAGCTCTCTTCTGATGTACTTGCTTCTAATTCTAATAACCAAAATTCAATATCCCCAACTGGATCTGCTGCAAGTAATGCTGGTACAAATAATTTTAAAGCACGTAGTGGTAATTTTGGGATGAAGAGTAATTCGATTTCGAGTACTACAGAATCGACACCTAATTATTTTCAAGTTGATTATCATGTACAAGAGGGTTCTGTTTCAACTAGTAGCATATCAGAATATTTGACTGAGACTCTTCCTGGTTGGCATGTTGAAGATTTTCTTGAATATCCCTCTTCTTCTTCATATGGTAAGTGTTTCTTTTTTTTACGGATTTAACTTATATTCACTGACGATAATGATGGTGACACCTTTTGCAGAGGAATGTCACAAGACATCGCTACTTTCTCGTTTTATGTGTATAAAAATGCTACAGACCGACACAACTCGAAATATGGGATTAAATTATTAACGAAAGGGGCATTTTTAGACCAACTGATGACATATTTGACCATTTTTCGAATACAATAAAATGTTCAGAACTTGCAACTAAATGATGCTGTTTGATTGCAGAATTTTGATCAGATACGACCAGCTGTGTAGTTTTTTTTCCACTACAGTAAGTGGGGATACCTCTTAATATCAAATGGAGTACCTGTTCCTCAGATCAACTCTCCATCTACCAAGCAACTCATAAGACAGACTTGGTAATACTAAAGGGCATAATATCTTTTGAGATATTAAGAAAACTGTTATACAAATTGCCATCTGACCTTTTCTTTTGGTTGCTAACTTTGACCAGTTGCTTTGTTTTTGGACATGTAACACATGTTGTAAGTTAAAGCCCCACTGTTCTTTTTTTTGTTATTTGTTTTTTTGCAAGTCAAATCACTTGGACTTGTTGCAATATGTTAATCTGAATGGGAATGGGTTTTAACAGATCTGGGGTACTTTTTGTTTTGCTTTGTGGGAGACCAATCTTTTTGTAATGCTAGTGGGATAGCCTTGTGCCTATTACCCGCTTTGATTATTGAATATGGTATTCCTATTTGTTTCAAGTATTCATTGCCAAATCAATTCTTTATGGGAGATTGATGCAAAGATTATCTGCATTGTTTTTTTATTTTCCTTTTGTTTATAAAATTATCCCACCAGCAGCGTCCAATGGCAAGCAAAGATTTTCAACAGCGATCTTTCTAGGCAATCAATGTCAGTTCAATCATCTATAATCTACACCACGTTAATGCACAACGACAATCAAAATAACTAGTTGAAATATGAATTTTCACTATTCATTTTGATTGCTCTATTTGAACACATTTCATCTTATATTCAAAATTTTAGATTATGTACTATTCGAGCTTCTCAATATTAGTACATAAATTGTTTAAACATACTGAAAAGACTCGTAGAATATGGTCTAATGTTAGTATAGTATCATGGCTATGCGTTATTCCCAATTGAGTTTTACACCAATAGACCGATCCAGTGTGACCTTCCTAAAAACTCATATGAGAATATTAATTTAACGAGGGTAATGGGATGTTTGGCTACTATTGGAAAAATTCATTAATAACAGAGTGTTCGGTAGAAATAGTATTCATATTAGTTATGCGTTAAATCTTTTGATATAACTTGTCTACAAACCCCACTCCTAAAGCATCCTACCCAATTTGAAGTAAAATGTGACCTTACAAAATGCTCACCCAATCACTTCACACAAATCTAATGTAATATCTACGTATGATTATTGATATCCTAAGTATTCACATATCACATTGCAAGTAAGGATTACATAAACCAGACTAGCTGGCGAGCTAGATAATGCTTCTGATTATTACATGTTTAAGACATTGAAGAAAGGCAAGTTAGTAGAAAAACAAAAATGCAATTCCAGTAAAGATTTGACTTCCGAATGACCAAGAAACCAAAAAGAAATATACCATGTGGAATAACAAATAAAGAAATGTCAGACCAAAGAGAACAAGAATATAGCCCCAATGATGTACAAGCTCAAAATATTTTACTTACACGACGCAACATTGTCATTGCAGTTGTGTTCTCTATATACTACAGCTGAAGTGAGGAGATCAAACTGTGGCCAGAAGCTACTCCCAGAGTTCAAATTTACTAATTCGACTGTTTCCTTTGTCCCCTTATCTTTCTTAATTTACAGTTACTTGGTGGATAAGTGGGGGAAAAGGTATACTGCTTTGACATTACATACAGTTAATCCATTTAAAGAATTGTCATGAGAAAGTGAGTTTCACAAGTGCGAAGAGAACCTTCCTACAAAGAGAGGGAGAAAAGTAAGCACCTTATTGCAAGTTGACTTCAGAATTTATGCATATTTGTAAAATAGAATGGGAATTCATGATGAAACAGCCACCAACCTTTCACCAAAGCTCAAGCACTTGAAATGGCGTCTCAAGTAAAGACAAAAATCCTATCTGCAATTTCAGTTCGACAGATTGGACACTCAGCACAGGCCAGGGAACAAGATTTACACACTGCAAATCAAGTCGACATTAGACAGATCCTATCCAAGGGAGAGAGGATAATCTGAGCACATAATGAGAAAGTTGACTTACAGCAAAAATGTCGGCAAGGAAGGAGCATTGCAGAAGTTAGTGATTCGAAACAGACTTTACATACATGTGAATTTGCATCTGCATTCCCCACATATGTGTGGTCCTTTTCCTTCATCTCTTGCGTTCGAGCCTGATGGCGCACACGTAAAAGATCTTTAATACTTCATGTTATATTGAGTCATCAAGGAACCTAAAGAAACAACAGTTGTTATTAGTAGCTTCTACCTATGCAAGAACCTAAGCACTAACAGCTATTCTGTTACCCATGTTATATCACATTTCCCATTTTAGATTTTATCTCAAAACGCTACACACAATTTCGATAATAATATTACATTACAATGTCAAATTCTTCTAAGAATTACAATCTATTTGACTGTCAAAAGTAAATATGTTTTCTTTTACAACTAAAACCAACTGTCCGTTCAACATTTTCTTGCATTACTACTGTTAATTATATCCCAGTCAAGAACAGTAGGATAGCCAGAAACAGCCGCCTCCAAAGATTGACAAGGAGCAGAGCATAAAAGGGCTAACATTGTGGCTCCTAGTTATGATTCATTGAAACATTTCAGAAGCACTGAAGTAAAAGCATTACTATGCTAGAAGCCTCATGGAACGACAACCGACTAAAAACTAAATGCTTTCCATTTTTCAATTTATGATGACAATTTATATTTTGAGATGTTCAAAATGTTTGACACTAGTCTATTTCTACACAACTTGCAAGAATGAAAATTAATCACACAATCCACATTTGAAACTTTGATGTGATATATTCTACTGAACTGACTTTTCAACCATTACTTTGATATTATCTCCTGTTATCACTAAAATCAAATTCAAGTAATATTAACAACTTAAACGCCATAATCAGTCAAACACGAGATAAAAAATGGGACAGTTGGAATAAATGTATATTAAAACCCATGACTTGCAGATGTTGGACACTTATTCTCCCCACCCCTCTGGTGTGCTACTAAAATCTAACCTTCCTATCTTCCAAAAAGCTTGCATATCTTACTGGATCCAAAGTATATCTCACACTTGTTTTTACAACTGAATAGACAAAAATGACCATGTTAGAGAGGAAAAGTAAAATAAAGCTTATCTAGCCTCATTATGGGTGTATGATGCACAAACACAAGGAAATTAGCTAGCTTTTGGAAGTATACATAGCTTCAACTCAGACAAATGACAAGGACACACCCTGACACGTTCATGTACTAGATACAAGTGCTAAGTGGCAAGAAAAGGATAAACACAAATTTTTTTATTTTTTATTTTTAAAAAAAGGATCAACATAATTACCTTCAAGTGGGCAACAAGAGGGTCTTCCTTCAGAATCTCAGCAACAGAGGTTGCATGATCCACGGTTTGTCCATCATCGAGGATGGGGTCATTGTACTCACTATCAAACATTTCTGGATCATTCATATTGCCTCTTCCAACATTCTGCCTTCCTGTTACTGTCTTTACATCTTGCGTGTCACCATTCTTTTTCCTTAGCTGAGAAATGAGCACCCACATATTTGCTAAATCATTTTCCAGAGCTGCCTCCCTTCTCTTTCCCTCTTCAACCTTTTTCCGGTACTCATCTTCAAGTATTTCCTTCTCAACCAAGGCGGCCTCAAGAACTGCCTCACGTTGTTTTCTTGCCTGCAACTCCATTTTTAAATCTTTAGTATCTAGATCCCATGTGCCAAATCCATCACGAACAACTCCAGGAACTTCACTTTCTCGGTCAGAAACCCGACTTCTACGTCCTTGCCATAGGTTTTCGCCATGCTTTCGGTGGCGAACATTACCAGTTTGTGCAATGGTGCTCCTAGAATTTAATGCCTGTCGAGCGGCCAACAGTTCTTTCTCGAGTTTTGTATTCTGTATCGATAGATTTGTCACTTCACCAGCCAAATTTTTAAGTTCAACTGCCGCAGCAGATGCTAATTCTTTTGCATATGAGGTCTCTTGAAACAATTTCTGGTTCTGTACTCGCAATCCACTACTCTCCTCTACACTCTGAACTAGTTCCAACTTCAACTTATCATTCTCAATAACCTGCTCAAGCAACAAACTTATCAGAACCATTTTATAGAAACATTTAAAGAAATGCAGGGACGTTAAAGTGTCTGTATTAACAATAACAACATACCCAGTGTCTGTATTCACAAGAAAGCTAAATAAGCAGAGCTAGATAGATTTAGTCTTTTAATTGCTGTAGATATCACACTAATAGAAGATTGAAGAACTCTAATGTAGAAATACCGAGTAATGCGCAATTTCATGCAGGAAAAGCAATTAGTTTAACATAGAAAGATTAACATAGAGAAACTGAATGAACAAAATGATTGTTTGTCTAGGCTCCATCATGTACAGCGACTTAATACAAAATCTTGTCGTGGAATAGGTATGGATGTCAAAGCAGAATGTTACAGCACCAGGCTCAGTATGTTTTTATAGAATAGAACAAATGTAAAAAACTAAGCATCTCAGGTGATTTAAATTCCTAAGTTAAAAAATCTTAAATAATTCATTCATAAAAAGCATATCATCACGCATCCACTTCAAGGCATTTGCAAGTGCTACTAATGAGACCCTTTCTTTTGCTTTCTTCAGGCTTTATATAAAGGAAAGAATTAAAAAAATTTGATAGGTCTTATAGTTTGATTCTCAATGCGTAATTAGACTTTTGAGGCATGATTCCTCTGCTCTGCATCGCTTAGTCAGTTAATTAAATGTGATATGCTCCTGCCATATCCCTCCTCTACGGGAGACCATCTTCTAAAAATAATAAAAGAAACAAAAGATGCCATATACCGCAAGAATTTACACAAGAATCAGTCCAAAATACAAACACGAACCCAGTAAATCCTGGGCTGAAGAATATAAATCACCTGCAACTGGAGTTTCTTTTCAAGGTCATCAATATACTTGTCTGATAGAAGACCCTGTTCTGTTGAGGGGTATGACTTCTCCACCTTCACTGCAGCTAGCTGCTGCTCAAGATTACAAATAGTTTCCTGCAGTTCCTTGTTCTCTAAACACTGGAACAGCAAAAGATGACAGACCCATTAATCCTGGGCATCAGCCACTGGCATACCAACAACAATAAGGTGACTATCATTTGATTTACAACAAAGATAAATAATGGTGCTTTTTCACCTTGTTCTGCAGCTCTTCCTGGAGAATCCGATTGTCTGCTGATTTTATCTGTATTAAAAAGTAAAATACTTAACAACTTCATATGATAGATGTTCTGCACTATGTGATAGAAAAGAAAATTCTTTAGATTTAATTTTAAAATAATTAAATTGATGCAATCAAGGAAGACCTGATCCGGTCACTACCTCAAGCTCAAATCCCTTTTCGCTACATTGCGTCATCAGCTTCATCAAAGTCTGACAAAAGTTAGAACTATGAGACAAACACAAATCACCATAAAAGGGAAAACCAATGAGGTTGAAAAAGGAATAATGTGACATCACCTGCTGCATTTCAACTAAGGATGCACTGCTGATTGATACTTCACCACTTTCAACAATGCGCTGTTCTAAGATCCTCATCTGCTCTCTCTTGCCTTCAATGTCACGCTCCAAACTTTGAATCTGTTACAAGTTTAGGCATACAGTGGGTAAAGATCTTAGTACAGGAGACAGCTTTGTACACAAGAACACAAACAATAAGTTGTTTTCAGGAAAATCAAACAGCTGCAGTAGCCAAAGAATGAAATCCTACACACTCATCAAGGATTGGCTCGTCTAGGGACTTTGAGGATTAAAAACCAGTGAAGATGCCGAACTGAATATGTTTCACAAGTTAGTAAATAAACCAACACCATGCCTTCTTATAAGGAAACATCAAATACAGTTTTATTTGAATTCAAACAATATATATCTAAAATGTTTACAAATTTTAAGATTATTGACCGCAAAATATAGCTGCAGAATATTTAATGAGAGACCCAATAAATGGCTTTAGCAGCCATACACGTCTCATCATATTATTAGCCATCATGTGTACGAAGGAGTCAGTCCAACAACAACAAACCCAATGTAATCCCACAAGTGGAGTCTAGGGAAGGTAGTGTGTACAGAAACCTTACCCCTACCTTTGTGGAGGTAGAGAAGATGTTTCCGACAGACATCATATTAGAAGGATTCAGTCCACAAAGACAAAATAAAGCTTACTTCAATATGAGATTTTGAATTCTCAGGATCATTCACAGACTGTTCTATCATTCGTTTCAATGTACTCGTACTAAATGCAGTCTCTCCAGCAAGCATCTTGACTTGCTCAACTAGGAGGTCCATCTGATCAGACAATGAAACTCCTTCCTATATTAAACAAATAAAATATCAAAAGTTGAAAAAATTACCATTTGATATGTAATGGAAAAGTATGCATTACATAAAAAATAAAAAATAAAAGGCAGACTTTGGAAGAAAAAAAATAGTAATGGAGAAGACCAGATTAGAAAAAGAAAAAAAAGTAATAACTTCTCAATTGAGTCAATCCTGAGACAACTTGGGAGGATGCCCAAATGTAAGTATCCAACAATGTTTGAAAATTCAATACTCGAAAATAATATATAAATATCAAAAATTCAAACTCCATGCAAAAATAAAGATCTTAGCAAGTTATCAGAGTAAACTTTAACTACATGTGGATTAAAAAATAACAACTTCAATTATTAACCACAGATCTTTTGATTTCTACAGAGGATTAAGGGGTCATATGCAATAAATAGGAGATGAAATTAAGAACAAATGAAGAAGTCTCTTCCTTTAGAAGGTCTTAAGAAGAAGAAAACATACTATGGGAAGCTTTGAACCGGTGACAAGGTCACCCCCCTGAGTTGATTCAGTAATCACACCGCCAGCCTGGGAGATATCATCATTCCACTTGCTAGAAGATCTTCCGTGTTTGAAATTAGAAGTCTCTGATGAAGAATCTCTTTGGTGCTCACTATCTATGGGCACTGAACCATTCAACTTCTGGTGAAAGAGTGAACAACAAAAAAGATTAATTTAGGAAATAGATTTTATATTTGAAGGTTGAAAAATTAAAAGATCAATCTAGAAAAATGATTCTAAATCTTTGGTTCTCGATATCTATGGGCATACTGTTGTTTTTGTGGGGAAAAAAGTCTTGCAAAAATCAAAACACATCTGATGTGCCTAAAATCCAAATTCAGAAATGATCACCTAGAATTCTAATTGGCAAAGAATGGGAAATGGAAATAGAACTCAAGATAAATAGAGAGGGCGGTGTACATCATCTTCAGAAGCAAATCGACTCCCAGGAATTGAATTCTTTGAAGAAACAAGGATCAGTTTAGTTAGCTTCTGTATCCGGCTCAGTAGAGCAGCCTTGGCATCCTCCTCCTCTTCCAACCTTGACTGCATCTTCACTTGTCCCTCTTCCAACTGTGAAAAGATTGTTAATAATAACACAACACAAAACCAATTACACCCAATGTTCCATTTTACATTGCACTCTTTCCTTTTTGGTCCATTCCAAGACAATTGACACCTTTTCATAATTGGAACTCATTAATTTTTAACTTCTTATTTTCCCTTAAACCACAAGATACAAAGGGTACTTTGGGTATGTTAATTGTTTTAGCTTATGTTTCAAAAGTCTTTCCTCTTTCATAAACTCTGTGCTGAGACAAACAGTGCCATATTAAGATAACAGACAGTACATCCAAAGAAAACATCTTAGAAACCTAACACAGACATCATCAAACATGGAATTGTACGTTATTTTTTTTTCCCTGATAACCAGTTGTGAGTGACATCATCAAATCATTTGACTTGAATGCATACCTGTTGTTTCAAGGTCATAAGTTCTTCATGATTGACTCCTACAAGCATCCCCCTTCTTAGCTGATCAAGCTCTTCCTTCAGACAAGATATTTCTTTCTGATATTTCTTGATCAGCGATTTCTCATCAATAATCTGAAAGCAAGATAATCAGTATTCAGCCTTCAATACTGTAGTTCCATAAAAATGAAATGATTCAGATAGGCAAACCTTGTTGCGAGATGCATAAATCTCGACACGCTTAGCCCTGCTTGCAAACTTTAACGTGTTATGTGTTTCTTCCATATTGCTGGAAGCAGGAGTAATAGTGCAGATGAGCTACAATCAAGAAAGAAGCAGGAAATTAGTCATCTCTTCAATGCACTTCATGCCAAGAAGCATTAGATTAAACAAATGTTGTTTAAGAAACACCAAAGCCTAAGAGGCAGAGGATGCACATCAAATAGGATAGACTAGCAGTTTCATAAGGTCAATAGAATGAAAAATGCACAACATGTGTTTAATTGCACTCACAGAAACATGTCCATGCCCACTAAGTGAAGATTGTAGCAGGCGAGTAAGTTTAGAATCTCGATATGGAACATGAAATGCCTTCCCTTCACTTAATTTTCCAATGACCTTAACACATGAAAAAAGAATTGACATGTCAGATCGAAATAAACCCAGAAGCAGGAATTCATATAATCCTCAATAAGCTCAAGAAAGAACACAAGTACTGATCAATAATGCCGGTAGGTAGGTAAGGAGAAGTCAATTAAGAATACAGGCAAATGTCATCATGCAATTTTTATGGGGAACCTACATATACAAACTGTCAACAATTAGTGGTTAAGTACTTACAGTTCCAAGAGTCAGGAGACTTTTGTTAATGTATGATCCTTCTTTTCTTCGTAACCCTGTAGTTTCAGTTTTAGAGCTCTCAGATCCAGCTAGATCAATCAAGTTCTGTGGACAAAGCAAATTAATATTAGATGCTAACATTCAACAGTTGGTATTTTCAATGCTGAACAACTAGTGCCAGAAACCATACAAGCTGTGAGAAGATCACTCCATCATATTCATCACCGTGGGCACTACTTTCAATCATCTGCATAATGTGTGATGAAAGGGACAACAGTCAAACTTGACTGATAAATAATAATCAACAGTTACCAGTAGTACGAACTTAAACTACAAGGAGTAGGAGGTTATGAAACAGAAAATAATCACAGCCCATTGAAGGAAACACAACAAAGCCATCCCAGCAAAAATCCCCAATTACTTGTTACCTCTAAAATGTCATAGTTGTCTTCAGAAGACCTCTTAAATATAACGAGAAACAGCAACAGTAACTTCTCAAAACTTGTGTTCGAACTCAATAACTTGAATACCAAAACATTAAAACCTTCAGCTGACCAAAAAACTGATGTTTAATGCTGGATGAGGGGTTTAAACTCACGATCACTTATGTGAACAAGATAAGCAGAATTTCAGATTAAACAAAGAAATGTGGCCGAGTGAACATCCTTATCCACTAACCAAGGTGAATATTGTATGACTGCGGCTACTAAACAGATTGAAATTGTTTGAACCAACGTGGCGGTGCTCTGCAACAGTAAGAATGTAATCAACATCAGGATCCACAAAAGCTTGCCTATATAATCAGCATCAGGATCCACAAAATCTTGCCTATGAATAAATGTTATTTCCGGACAAAGAACAAGAACAGATTCAACAATTACCTTCCCCAGCAGCAATAAATGAAAGAGCATGCCCAGGTGACAAAACAACCTCCTCCTTCATACCTTCAACATAAGTGCCCTGCATAATTGCAAGAATAGAAGAATGAAGAACCATACAGCAGCATTACAATCATGAACTATGATAGAGAAACATGAATATCTATTTTCCAGTAGAACAATACAGGCTAAAAGCACCACCTGCAGTGCTGGTAGGTAATGATAGGTTTTGATACTTCAGGTGACAAAAAGAACGCTAGATTTTGTTTATTTCTTGGTACATGTCAGGAATTAAATAGGTATTAATATGTTTAGTTATATTTTTCCTGATAAATTCAAGACTCAGGCATGTGATAACATGTAGGAAACACTTTTGTTCTTATCTTATTATTTTCAAAATTTACTGAAATGGTTGTCTTAGCCCATAGGAACACAGCTTTTCTTTGATTCCTCTCATAAAAACAATATACTTATTCATCAAACAAAAATATTGAAAGACAATTCAAATTTCCAGAAGCAACGAAAGTTGTATTATATAACAACCTGGGTGTCCTCCCTAACACGCAAATTCTGTCCCGTTGGATCCAGCAAGTCGTTGATAACCTGACACCGTGAACAAGAAAAGCATTTATATGTTCTCTAGCTAGAATCAATACAAGATTATAACATGGATGGGACGACAAGTGCCTAAAGAGAGATGTTCATGAAGTTAGTACAAGAAATTAGGAAGTGCTGAAGCAACAAGCGCGGGAGAGATTCTAAATCTACTACAAAATTTTCCACATTGTTTAACAGACTCTAAGTTGCTCCGACTCTTCACTTTTGGTGCCGCACCCGTGTCGGCACAACATGGGTGTGGGTGTGGGTGTGGGATCCGTGTCCGATTTGGTCAACCAATTTTGGGTACTTTGACCAAAATCGATGGGGAAAGACTAGACAGTTTTAATGATTTCTATAAGCAATATACAAGCTAAGATGAAATTGAATAAAATGAAATACCTTTTATATAGAAATTCCTATGTCACTCCTTTTCCTTTAATTTCCTTCTAGGATTCTCACCAAGTTCTCCACAAAATATCTCATAATTTAGGTTTTATAACTCCTTTTTTAGATATTTTAACTATTTTTAGGCGAATCCCCGCACCCGTATCCATACATGGATTCGGAGATCATATCTCCGAATGTTAAAAATTAGATCATTAAGGATCCAACCTCTAGATCCGCACCCGAGTCCGAGCAACTTCTTTAACTTTAAAAGAAGTTGTTTTATGTAGCAGCTATGACGAATCACATTTCACATGAGCTCAGTCCTCAGAATATAAACATAGATACAGCCTCTGCATCAAAGATGCTTATATATGCATGAGCATCTGGTAAACTATATAGTTGTTAATCATGCAAGCCTGTCCTCAAATATGAAACTATCTGCTGATGTCCACTACTAACCTCATTATAGATTTCAAGATATGATACACGAAGTAAGAATTCACGTCCAGGAGTCTGAAAGGCAGATTACAATAATAAGTAACACTAAAAGATAATGGAGTGTCCTTTTTAAAAAAGAAATGGGTCTATAGAGCTCAAGAGTGTCATATAGAGAGGTGCATTGTCAAAATGAGAATCAGTAAACCGTAAACTCACTTACATCTTGAATAATGCTAAAAACATCCTTAATTGCGAGTGGAATTATACCTGGAGAATTTTGATCTCCCTGTGGAAACAAAGATCCATCATTAAGACAGCACAAGTTCGAAAGTTCAGGGGAGTAGGAAGTGAGCAAAACTCAAATTGAAGACAATTGAAAAACCAACTTTAACCATCAAATTGACTATATATTGATATAAAGATAGATAACACAGTACCCTTTAACTGGAATTTTTTCAGTTGCTAGTAATTAAATACTTCTAAACTGTTTGGTGGAGATGTAACAGAAGCATCAGAAGCACTTCCCCGATTCGAGGCAAAAAGAAGATTGCACAATGGATATATTAACTTACATGCATAGTGTGTGTCTTTCCACTACTTGTAACACCATAAGCAAATACTGTGCCTGCATACACAGCAGGCCTAGTGTCAAATTACAAAAACTAAGCAACAATAGAATTATTTTGCTAATGCAACTTGCAATGCATAAATGATAACAGTTCAGCTCAATATGATAGCCCTAGGATTGTTTCAAGAACCTAATTCAGGTCATCAGATCAGGAGGACATATAACGTTATTAGCACTCAACTAATGTCAATTTATGTGTCAAGCCATTACAGTGCACAAATAAATTATAACTGATCATGGAACTCATATTAAGTATGAATATTTTATAATGCCGTTGCAGTCTGTTTAGCCCCAAAAACGAAATTGCTCTATGTAGTGTTACAAGTGCCAGTAAGTATGATACCGTTTATGCCCTCCATTGCAGCCTGTACCACAGGTCGAGCAGCAACTTCATAAACCTCTTGTGTACATGTATCAGGTCCAAAAATTCTGTCTAGCAATCATCCAAGAAAACATATTAATCAACTCTTAATATATTTCATCTTGGAGAGGGAATTTCAAGAACTAAGCAACTCTAACCAAAATAAATATCAAACTCCTCACAAATAGAATATACAAACAAAAAAAAATACGAGCAGAATCAGAATCAGGAAGTGACTAGAATAGTACCAAATGCAAAAGCTGTTGCAGCATTATACTCATTCCGTACAATTTTATCACCATCAGGATACCACGCAATTTCATCCCCCTTGTTGTATTCTCGTTCGCTGCCACCAGAAATACCAAAATTCCAAGCTCAAATCCTAGCATAATAAACTAAATTCCTCCAATCCAACATCAAATGAACTGAAACCAATTCAAGCAGATCTAACATTTACCTCAATGGCCGAAACCTAACTGTGACTGAAATACTCTCTCCCGCTCTAGACATATCAACTGGTTCAGCAATCAACTCCTCTGTTGACTGATAACTCACCGGCGTCCGATTTCCATAACCTCGTGAATACTCCGAATTGCTCCGGTTCCGTCCAGGAGTCACGGATTTGGAGCTCGCGCCAGTTCCGGAGCCCAAAAACGATGTCGCTGTGGAAGAGCTGGATCGAGGCATGAGCCTACCGTTCATGAAAGACGACGATGACGAAGTAGATGAGTACGGACTCGAAGGCTTACGGCGGTGAAATGGCGAAGTACTTCTCCCTCTAGACGACGAACCCGACATTGACCGACTCACTCAGCTCCACCAAAAATCGGTAACACAAAAATTTATCTGCGTGTAGCTGTTCTTCTTCAAGTATGTTTCACACTTTCAGCAAAATTGCTCAGTGAGAAAAACTTCAATTCGTCAATGGAGTGCAGAAGAACAGCAGAGAAAAGGAAGAGGAAAGTTGTGAAAGGTGAAACGTGGGAGTTGGAAGGTGAGAACAGTGAGAATCTATGGAGGCGTTTGAATTTTCTGAGTTTGATTTTTTCAAATAAATAAAATATTGTATTTTGTGGGAAATATTTGGAGGGGTGGTTGGGTTGGTGTAACGTGGAGATAGGAGGTGGCCCTCGCCGCGGAGTGGTGGAGGAGGTTTTTATTTGAAAAAACTGATTAAAATGGAAATGAGCGGGAATAAGCATGGTTATAGGCTATACTAGAGAGAATAATATGTACATTTTAGTTTGATAGTCAATTTTATTAATTTTTATATTTAAATTAAACTAATTAGATATTTGAAGATTATATATAAAAAATTCTTTTCATATAAGTTTAATCAATGAAAATATAGATTAAATTATTGATCAAAATTTAACTAGTTTACTTTTTGAAAAATAACAAATATTTTGAAACAGAAAGCTCTACTTATATTAAATAGCTTCGGAACGAATTAGTTCATTTATTACGAGTGAAGCATTTATTAGTACTTAGCCACTTAAGTAAATCTTTGCACATGATTTGGTAGAAATTAAGAGAAAATTGAAATAGAAATAGGGTATTTAGAATTTATTGTCTTGAATTATATTTTTTAAAGCTAGCTTTCACCTTCAATAGTGGAAGTTATTTCAATTTGTTGCAATATGGGTATGAATTAGTTGAGAAATATTATTCATTTAATACGCCTAACAAGTAATTGTTGTTATTTTTTTTTCTTTTGAATTTCACGGTTCTCGTAGGTTTGGACTTTGGTGCAACTAAAACCCGATCAATGACATTGTCTTTTTGTTTTTTTTTTCTAAAAAATAATAATTAATCACATCAAATAGAAGTTAAAATATTATATTCTAGAAAGTTCAAGTCAATATTGTCTCACTTTTTAATATCAAACAGAAAATATTAATAAGGAGCAATAGGAAGGTGATCATATCAGCTTCAATAGAAGTAACATTACGGTAATTTATTGTCTCGCAATTTCTATCATTATTTATTATTTTTTATGACTCGACAATCATATTATTTTATTGTTAGCATCATATGTTATGATTTTCCTAATTTTTGTTATGCCTATTTTACTTTTGTATTGACTACCTTTCGAAATGCTTTGATATGTATGGCTTGAGAGGGATTTTGGAACCAATCTATATCTACTTTCATAAAATAGAATTAAATTTACGTACACGGAATAAAATTACATTAAGCATATTGTTATTAAAAAATATCTCTAAATTTCTTAATTATGATTTTATTTTTTCCATCCCAGTTATGCATTGATACATTGTTGTAAAAGACTGAATAATCCTAGAAAAGGAGTGGAAGTTACACTACCCCATGTGAAGATCGATGTGACCGGTCAAAGTTCTCTTTTTGTTATTATAAACCTGTGATTTACAATTTATTTGTTATTTTCGATTTGTCATTTGTAGATACCATAGTAGTTTAAAATCATAGACTTGCCTTTTGTGCAATCTCAAAACAAAAAAATACGTATATGCTTAGTGGTGGTAGTGGGGATGGAGCTAGATGGGACTAGAAGGGTCGAGGCTTAACCACAAAAATCTCAACTCGCATTGTCATGCTCTCATTATTCTCTTCAAAACATTATTTCAACGTATCCTACCGCTTTTCATAACAATCCTATACACCGTAGTATAAGGTTTAACCCGTCATACGTATTTGACATCTCTATACATGACATTTAAATGAGAGAAAAGAGAGTGAGGGAATCTCTGAAATACTCATACAAGTAAAGGAGTAGAAGCCAAGAATTGATATGCTGAGTTTCTATCATTGACACTGTCGAGAATTTGATTGCACATGGTTCACTTTTTCTGCTCTCTCTTATTTGTGCCTTGTGGTCCTCTTAAAGCTATATATATGGTTGGGACGGCTCTTACTTATTATGCACTACTATTATATGTATTTTGAGTGGGTGAACAACCTTAGCAGTTGGAGACTTGACAAACCATTAATATTGTCAAAACAAAAATGTTTCAATACACAAATTAACTTTTACTATTTTCTCCCTGATATAGATATTTCTTTACAAATTTGTTACTACACGGATGATTAAATTATTCGGTGTTATAGTAGGTCTCAAAATTAAAGAAACTTATTAAGTTTCAAAGGTATTAACTAAAATAAATTATATTCAGACTATAAATTATCAAAAAGTTTAATATCTTCATATTAATACAATTATAGATTGTGAAATGTCGTCCGTCTTTCCCTCCGAATTTGTACCACATAAATATAAGCATGATAGAAATCACATGCCACGGAAAATCTTTTATTTTTGGTGTTAGCCTCTGGGCGGATCTTACAAATTAAACCTTGCATATTTGTTTGGACTTCGCATATTTTGTCCAAAACAAACAAGAAGCCCAATGGATCCATGAGCCCACAACTTGATGTTGCACAGAATAATTAGGAGTCACCCTTTACGCAGTTGCCATTACATCCACGTCCATAAAAGTATTTTTGAATATCTGCGTGCAGCATTTCCTGGGTGAAAATTTAGATAAGTTCAACCAGTTGATACAGGAACTAAAGTTAAAAATAAGTTTTTCTGCTTCAAATTCAATATATAGAACTTTGAAAAATAAGTTTTAAAAGTTTTTAATCACAAAAACTCCAGCTTAACTAAGGTTTTGAAAGAAATATTTTTTAAAATCAGTTCTTTTTAAATACTCCTTCAATCATTTTTACTTGTTAAGTATTGACTTACCACGCCAACAATAATTAGAATGACAATTTTATTATAATAACCTCTTCTTAATATGATAAATTAAATGTCTTAAAATATGAAAATAATTAATAATAAAGATAATTTTAAAACTAAGGAAGATTAATTTAAAGATAACTAATCCAAAAAATAATTTTTGAATGAATTTATCCATGTTCCATGAGGCAGTGCTCCATTTGTTAAAAAAAAGGGTAATGCTAGATAGTCAGAAATTTTAAAAGTTTATATAAAAAAAAAAATTAAAAATTCAGTTTTTTTCATTTTTTAATTAAAATATATTAAAGTTAAAAGGATAAAAATGTTCAAAAAGGTAAAATAACATAGATAAAATACCATTATGGCCAAATTTCGACAAAATTTTCTAGCCAAAAGAATTTTTCCCAAAAAAGATATATAAATAATTTGGACAGTAAAAAGTTTCTCTCTTCACTGGCTTAGGCCTGTATACTCATCACTCCCAAGTCCTGCTCTTCTAAAATGGGGATGGACTTCACAGTTCACACTATTGTCATCTATGCCCCCACACCCCACCCCTCTACCCCAAAAAAAACTCATAATTACAGACTCTATTACTTGCACTAGTGGTTATTTTCCGATAATTATTACTCACGCCATTTCTATGAAAAGTGTTTGAATTGATTTATTTTTTTAAAAAAATTGCTTTTAAATTTCTTTTCGATTATATTTCAATGTTTCAATATAAATTTAATTTTTAATATACATATTTTGATTTATAAACTTAATTTAAACTAATTGAATTCAATGGGTAATATGTACATCTTGAAAACAACTTGAAACGAAAGGAGGAGGAAGTAGGAAGTATTGGTTTCCACTTTCAAGTAGTAGTGCAAAATAAATTAATTATTCATCCGTTCTCTTTTACTTGTCACTATTTAACTTGTCATACTTATTAAAAAAATAATTATTGATATAGATATTTTACTATACTATCCCTATTAATTAATGTTTAGTATTGAATCTTAAAAAATGATATAGAAAATATTTAAAAAATATATAAAAAAAATAAAATAATTCAAAATGACAAATAAAATAAAATTTTCTTTTAACATTAAGTGAAAAGTAAACAGTGAACGGAGTAAGCATGTTAAAGTTATTTGTCCAATCGGACGACGTAGCAAGTGGTAGACGCTACACACAAAATCTCTTACTCAGCAAAGCGGCAGAGACGAAACAAGCGAAACATTCATCGCCGCTGTCGCACGTATCCCACAGACTTCGAATCTGGTTATTTAATGCAGCTAATTATGAGTTTCGGATTTCCTCTCCACGCTCTTCTATTACGTGTCCACACGCACCTCCTACTGCCTTTTTTTCCCTCTTACTTCAAGATGATGTGAAATGAACTTTCTGATCATTTAATTTTCCGTAGCCGTATATTTATCAACTAGTTTTTCAATAGGTGCGTTGTACGTGATTATCAATTCAGAAAATATATGTTATAATATATAATACTGCTTATTTAAGTGAAGATTTGAATAATAAATTTTGCATAAAATAATATTGCTGATTTTTTTGTGAATGTTCAATGTGGATCATCATATATATTTCTTATTCATGCGAATTATGAAGATGATCAGTGAATTTTTTTATTAGTTAAACGCAATAATGCATATAGTTATTTCAATTTGCTGAGGTTCAATCATGTAATTGGTCGTATCTCAATAATATTACCATATAAACGATATTTATTGTGTATTTTCTTGTCATCTAACCAGATGTGTTTGCATGTGTATTTCACGTTAAACTGTTCAGATGTCAGATGAACATGTGAAGAGAACAACTACATTTTATTTTTCAAAACTAATTTTTATTTTAAAAGTTATAACATAATAAATGACGCTCTTGTTGTTGGCTCTCATATTTAACTTCACGATTGACTGTGTAAATAAATCAAAGCTAGTTATCTGACTATCCATAGTTAACTGATAAATGTTTCTCTTTTTTTTATTGAAAAAACCTGTGAAATCATATATATAATCACATGTTTATCTTATACCCAACAAAGATGTAGTTCATATACTAGTAAACAATTTTCAATTTATTCAATCAAGCATGATTCGTCTAAGGAAAAATAACAACACCGTGTTATCACATATATATGGGCGGTATAATAATATGAGAAATTATTAGTCAAAAGTTAAGATAAGAAAAGATGAAAGATAGAAATAATTAATGTAATAGCTATGAGAATTTATTATCTTATAACTAAAGAATGTGAAAGAGTCTGAATAACATTTGCAATAATTAGTAATAACTAAGAAAATTTATAATATTATAACTAAA